TAATATTCTATGAAAAGTTTTGGGGATTAGCAGAGTTCTTTCCAGAGCTTATAGTGTCAAATTCAGATACTGTCTCAGCTGAAGTGCAAGTGGAAAGTAAACATCTGAAAGAGGCAATGAGAGAGGCTTACTTGCTTCCTGTCCTTGCTTTCCACTCCAAGACCAAGGTCCAGAAACTTCTTAGCCAGGCCTGTGTGATTGCATGCTGGCTTCTTGCCCCACATCACTCCCAGTAGCAGACAGTAAAGTCAAAAAAGCTGGCTTTGGAAGCTGAAGGAGTACCAATCATCTATGGTCTTTGACAGATGTAAGCGCTGATATTTGAAGTGAGCAGAATTACAGCTTGGGCACAGGGAGGGAGGGACGTCCTGTGGGTTATCAAGGACAGGAGTGCTGTGGGGAGGTGCCTCTGAGATTCCCATGCAGAAGAGGAATAAGCCCCTCGGGCTCCCATCATTACTATCCACAGCAGCATGCGTGCTCCCACGAAACATGGGCCCAGAACCCCACAGCCCTGCTTCCTAGCGGTGGCAAAGCTGAGGGCTCTGTAGTAGCAAAGTGATGACTACAGATATGCAAATGTTGATGTGAGAGAAGGTCTGCAAACATCTCATTAGATAAGTTGACTTCCCACAGGCTTCCTGCTGGCAGTTGGATATCCCACAGGGCATTACTTCCCTTTAAACACACACACATAAAACTACAGTTTTCCATAAGCAAAATCTCAATTTTCATTCCATTTTTGTTGTTGTTGTTGTTTTGTTTTGAAACCTGGAAGACAGGGGGAACAGTTGGCTCTTAGGCAGATACCTCATTGGATGCTCTGCCAAACAGCAAGGCTGATTACTCTACTTAGACCAGGGCACACATGATGTTGAAGGCAGCAGCCCTGGGCTCCTTCTGTAGACAGGTATCTGCTAAGACAAAGCCACAGGAGACTCACAAACCCTTCCTGGCAGAGCCCAATGACCAGAGCAACTAGCCCCCCTCTATTGCATCCAGCTGGATCCTTTGGCATGCAGACATGAGGAAGGCACATCCAGGACCTTGCTGAATGGAGCTGCCCTTTCCAACGACAGCAGTCGTTTTCGTCAAAAAGAAGGAGATTTGAGACGAGAGCAGCAAGTCTGTCAGCATGGAGGAAAGGCTGCCAGATCAACTCAATCCCCATGCTTCAGGTTTCCTGTGCTCCCCCAAATACAGTATCTAAAAGTCCTTATTTTCATAGGGAACCATGAGCAGTTCACTGCCTCCATGGCACCTCCTTTCCCTTCAGCCAGGACAACGGGTTGTGCTGTGAAGGGCAGACAGGTTGTGGGTCAGCAGCAGGGTGGCAAGATGATATTCCTGCCCAAAATCTGGCCTGAGGAATGGGACAAGTATGCTGAGTGCATGCCAGCACAGGCGAAGGCTGTGTTGACTTCTCAGGGAGAACATGCTGTACCAAACATTTCTTATTGTATATCTTACATAAACAAAGCACTTAGCTCACCATCCAGCACTAGCTCATGCTAATGAATGCCAGGGATTTTCTCTGCTTCATATGTTGAAGCTGTGTATTCAAGTCAGCTCAGGGACACACAGAGGATGCTCACATTGGACTGAGACTCTTTCTGCAATTCATTTAAGCTGAGAGTAATCAACTACAATTAGAAAAGGAAGCCTCAAACAGGATTTGCTGTGCAAATATGACAGAGATCGACTGACCAGGAAGCCATCTCTTCAGCTCCTCTTTGGGTAAAGACCTGCCGTACAGGCCCAGAAATGCCCTGGGACATTACCTTCCAAAGAAACCCTGATACCACTCTCAGCTTTGACTCCAAACCCGTCAGCATTTCCACGTGGGAGATCATAACACAGTCCTTCCACAGCAGGCTTTCCTCTCCATTGACATTGACTGCACCATGGCAGGGCAGAAAGGGGGAAGGCCCAGCCAAAATCCAACTGCTGCTCATAAATGCAACTTGCCCTACTTGCAGAGTGAGCAACCTGAGCAACCCCACACCCTCCCAATGAACCTGCCAAAACTGCATGAACAGCTCTAGGGCACGGTCTCAGGGCAGGTGCAGGGGGCTGTGGGATGGCAAGGTTGGACTGAGCTCTCAGGCTTGCACACACTGCCAAAGGGATGCAGGGCTCCTGCCTTGGGCAGGCTGGCTGCATTTTCTGGGAGTTCCTAAGGGAACATGGGGCTTGCAAAGGACCAGGGTGGGACGTGAAATTGAGGTCTGACACAACTATTAGTACCAACAACATTTTTCTTGAATGGAAAAAAAAAGTTGCTTTGAAATTTGCAAGGGAAAATAAACCAAACAAAAACTACTTACATTTTTGTCCACATTCCTTTGCAGAAAAAATCTTATCCTGAAAAAATAAACACAACATGCAGAAACTGTGAACCCCCCCACATTTTCCATTAAAAATCCCTGAAAAATCCCTTGAGAAACTTGAGCATGATGGAGGAAAATCACAGAGATCAATGTTACTCAGTTTGCTCTAAAAATAAAGCAAACCCCTTGAAACAGCACCTCCCCCACTTCTATCTCAGGTTCCTCTCCAGACAGAGTTTTTTGGATGTTTGTTTAACTATGGTACTCAAATTCATGACCTATTAGAGGTAAAAGGCAGATCTGGCAAACAGAAATGTTTCACTGCCGAGCTCACTGGATCATTTGGTTTGTAACTGTTGCAGAATATGACCTTTAGGATAGACTTCTTTTGATACTGCATTTTCAAAGAAGGAATTTTCCTCTTCTCTTGCTTTTGTCTCCCATTTAATACTTGGGTTTTGTTACCCTGTTTCTAGGAGAGTAACACTGAGTGCAGCTGCCTCAGCTCCAGCAACTGATCACTAATCCCTGCCCTCCAGCTGCAGCAGTGGGCATGCTGCATCACTGCTCTCTTGGAAAAAGCTTTGTCCTCACTTTCTCTAGCCTTTCATAGGTGTAAATGCAACTAGAGCTGGATTTCAGATTCCTATAGTATTTCCTTATATTCACAGGTCTGTATACAAGGCAGAAGGCATGATACTTTTTAAAACCTGTTCCTCCTGAGAAGGTCCAAACTGACATGTCGAAAATGTGCGGTCTGTGCTTACGCTCAGTATGGATACAGCTGAAGCACAGGTACCACTGGGGACAGATGCTGTAGTTTATCTTTTGTTTTGAGGCTACAAAGATGCCAATTAATGGCACAGTTGTGTTCATTACTGACCTGCATTACAGCAAAGGTAAAAAGCCTCCACAACCTCTTATTACTCCTTGGAGCCTGCCACTTTGAATACCTGGTAATTTTCTTAGTACGATGATTTGATTTGCTGTAGCATGACTGTATTGTTGTGCTCATTGCTAAGCCATTAACAATTTGTCCTTCCAGAAATATCCAACGCCCTAGACACTATTAGCTCCTCAAAATATTTTCAACACAAATATTCCAGTGGAGAAGCACTAGCAGCTCTTCCACTTTCTGGGACAAGCATCTCTCCAGCTACATAGTCCATTACAGAACACCAGATCAGGACAGGAAGAAGGTGTTATTTGTGATCAAGCCCCCATTTTGCCAAGTCCTGAACAAACTTTTCATCTTGCATTACTCTGAGGCTGGCACATTTCTTGCTTAATCCCATTTTCACAGGAACCAGTGAAGAAACTTACTCCCACTCTAACAATGAAGGATGGCTCCTGCAGCAGATTCCCACAGCTTTGAGGAACTTGCCAGTTTTGAGACTTCCAGGGAGGACAGACTCCTGGTTACCAAACCAGAAGGTATACTTTCTGACCTATGGACCTAAAATTCACAATGCAGGCCTCAAGATTGACTTGTCAGAGAAAACAAACCCTGAAGCTAACAATATTTTGATCATCCTGGGTCACTCAGCCTTGGGACAACCTGCTGGCAACTTAGCAAGGTGATAACAGAACCCTCTGTTATATTGACCATATCCAACATGATAATTTCTGAAGGCTCTGAAAGCACCAGGATCTCTCCAGCAAAATAAAAATTCAACTAATCATCAAAAGCTACCTAATAGTATTTGCCAAATAGTCTTTTATTCCCCCAGTTTCTTATACAAATGAGTAAACTCCCATACTGAGGTATGTATCGAGAGGGAGTCACTTAGGCTTTCTGTCGACAGTACCCCAAAATTACAGGAGTAATTGACATTTAAACTGCAAAAAGTGTAGACAGTCGTCAAGTCCTTTCCCTGAAGGGTGTTGAACAGTGTGTGGGACTCAGCATGCCCACGTACCAGTGGGACAAAGCACGTTCTGTTCCCAGGGCGTTACTGTCAAAAGTGACCACATTGAGTCAAAGCAAAGGACCATCTGGCCTGAGAACCTGTTACCTGCTATGAGGAAGGTATAAAAACATGCATATTGTTGTACTTCACCCCCTAAGAATACTTTCCTGCCTCCAGCAGTTTGCAGAACCATGTCTGTGCCTGTTCTCAGGATCCCAGGCCCAAGCAAGAAGGAAGTATATTTGATGCATTTTACAGATTATATTTCTAGTTATAAATTTAAATATATATACATATATATATAAAAAAAAAAACTTAAAATATTTTCTTAAAGATAGGTACAGAAGTATCTGCACAACTTTATTCATAGGTTTTCTAGTTAAGAATCTCTTTTAGAAAATCAGCTTAGGGTATAATACTCAGTTGTAAAATGCAATTGTAGCCATCATGCAATGCTCCTTGGGTGTATTTTGTCTTTTTCTTTTTGTGCAACACTAAACATTCACCTGATCTCACCCACCTAAAAGTTGTATTTAAAATGTCATCAACATATTTATCTGCCAGAATCTCCCCTCTATGGAAAACTTGAGTGCTCATTGCAGAAAGGGAGGAAGAATAAATTCCCATGTATGAGAAAAACAGGTTCTTCTTCAAACAGCTGGTGAATGAGCGGGCACAAAACAAAGGAACAGAGGAGAGCAGTGTCACCACTGCAGGGACAGCCAGCTGCCCTACATCAATCCATATCATGCCCCAGTGCCTACAGCAAGGACTCAGGACTCCCTTCCCTGCCCACAGTGGTTTCAGCATCTCTGAAGTAGCTCCCTGTCCTCAAAGAGGAGCTCTCTTGATGGCTATTGAACTGATGAACTCGTCGCTTAAACAGGTGATGAAGCTTCTCCTGGAACTGGTTCCCAATAAAGCAGTACAGCAGAGGGTTGATGCAGCTGTTGGCAAATGCCATGCAGATGCCAAATGGCAGTGCGGTGTCAATGATTCTTGTCACGTCACAATTGTTAATGATGTTCATATGAGCCAAAGCATCCAAAAATGTTAAAATGTGGAATGGGAGCCAGGAAATTAAAAAGGCCACAACAACAGCAGCCACCAGCTTTAGGACTTTGTCCCTCTTCTGCTTGTTTTTTCCAAACTTCTGTGCTTTGAGCAAGTCCCTCCTGATCCAGATGTAGCACGTGGTGATCACTGTCAAGGGGATGAAGAAGCCAAGTGCATTTTTCAGGAAGGCTGTTGCCACAGACCATTTTGCGTAATTCTCATGGGGAAAGGCCATAATGCAAGCATTGACTCCCAAGCTTTCAATGTAGTAAGTGTCACGGAAATAAAAAGTTGGGAAGGAGGACAAACAGGCAAGGCCCCACACAATCAATGCTATAAAATAAGCTTGTTGTGGAGATCTTCTTTGAGAGAGAATAGGATGGACAATAGCACGGTACCGGTCCACACTCATGCACGTAATGAAAAATATACTTGCAAACATGTTCAAGCACAGGACAGAACTGGAGATTTTGCACATGAGAGACCCAAAGAACCAGTTGTACCCCTGTGCATAGTAGGTAGCCCAGAAGGGAAGGGTGGCGAGGCACAGCAAATCTGCTGTGGCCAGGTTGAAAATGTAGATATTAGCGACTGTTTTGGGGCCACTGTGACAACAAAGCACCACAACCACCATGCTGTTGCCAACCAACCCCAGAAAAAAAATCACAGAGAAGAGTGCTGGAATTAGTGAAAACTGATAATCCGAAGAGCTAAGTGGGCAGGGAGAGGGCAGGCGCAATGCAGCTGATGAGTTTGTCAGTGCTGTAGAGAGGACTTGGAAAGTTCCTCTGGTGGTGATGACCAGGGAGTAGTTGCTCTGCATTTTGGTGATGGTGGAAAGGGACGTTCTGCAGGAAATTCACTTGCTAGTAGCACTTTTCTATCACATCACTCACCTGCTGATTAGAAATGGTGTGTTAGACATGCTTCCTGCAGCCATCTTAGCTCTGGAATCACACAATCACAATAAAATAAAAACCATTTAAAATTATGTCAGCAAGCTGAGTGCTGAAATACCAGACAACTCTGCAAGACTCTTTTCTTCTCTCCCACTGACAGGACAAAATTATCCGTAGGGAGGTCACAGCCCTTTTTAGTTAGCCTGGCAGAAGAATGAGCAGCTGCATTTTATCTGTGATTACAGATGGTGCTTTCTGTGGCCAGCAGAGCAGAAAGATTATTGACTTGAGAGCCAGAGATACTTCAGGAACTTCTGTGAACAAAAGCAGCACCAAAACTTGTGATCCTTTTCTAGGCTTTCTCATACTATTTCCAGCACTCTGTGCAGTTAAAGTAATGTAGAAACGCAGCACTTGCCAGTGGAGATCAGGTACTTCACATCTAGCACTTCACCAGTGTGAAAGCAGCTTTTAAACAAGGCGATTAGGAAAGCAAGCTTTGACTTTTTTTTTTTTTTTTCTTTTTAAATCACAGGGCAAGACACAGTAAAGGGTCTTTCCAAAATGTCATTTACTGTCAGAGTCCTTCCCAGAACAAATCTGTACCTCCTGCCCTCATGACGGTCTTTAATCAAAAGAATGGAATAAATATTTCAAATGAAGATATAAGTAGTAGCCAAATCCTCAGCCCTTGCAGGGCGCAGATTTAACAGTAGTGTTTGCCATTCATTTAGAAGGATCAGGATTGGGTTTCAATAAGGAAAACTGTAGCTACAAAACGGCTAAAACAGGAGAGTAAACAGGTTTGTCAACAGCTTGTATCTGCAGTCTAAGCAGGACGTTTTTCAAATTTTAAGACTTTATAGTCAATAAAGAACATATCATAGCCAAATATTTTATTTTACATAATAGAAAGAGAAAATTCCTTTTAAATTAAGTCCTTATGGAATCAGTCAAGCATTTAAGAATTCTCAAGGCCCCCTGAAAAAACAAGAAATTTTGACGAAGACAACAGACTTGGTTAATGACCTCTTGTTTAACAGAAGGCAACTAATTATTTCAGAACTATTTTTCTGTATTAACAGTTTAGTGTGCCATAGCTTATCATTTTTCCAATGCAAAATATGCAATATGCTACCACAAATATACTGACAAAAATTTAATTTTAATTATATTGTCTCAACAATGAAAATTCACTAGAAGAATATTAATGCCTATGTTTTCTAATCAAACAGGTCTTAAACCAGAGGAAAGCTTTCTGTTTGAGGATGTCAAAGATTCAGGGGAGGGTCTGGAGCCTCATTTCACCCTCAACTCCTATGTCCTGAACCCCTCACTTTAACCTACAGAAACCGAAATCTCAGAACTAGTCACAAGGCATTACATATCTGGTTTACTCCTAATAGAAGGACCACACCATAATTAATTTTAGCTACATTGCTGAGAAGAAGGTTTCATTGACAAACACACTCCCCCCTCTGCTCAAGAAGAACTGGTGGCATAGAATCTGCTTCTAAACTAGCCATTCCTACTATTACTTAGAACACAATGAAGCATTTTATCACAAGTTGAATAAAATCTATGAAAACCATGTTCTAAGAGCAGATAGAAAACATACCTCTAAAGCCTCACATTCGTCTGGATGTAGCTCTAGAATTATGCACTCCTTTTTTCTCTTTCCTTCTAGTGACTATCGCCACCAACAATCTGCTTTCTTATATCTTCTGCTTTCCCACTGGGAGACTGTAACCTACATAACTCAAGAACTAAAATATGAATGCCTGCCAGCTTCTTTTCCTTTTGGAAGCAAAACGGTTTGAGAACCCCCCCTTTCCAAGGCCACGTGAGCACATGCAGTAAATCAGGAGAGAGGAAAAAGATAAAAAAAAAAAAAAAAATCAGAAAGCAAACAAGCAAGCAAGAGGAAATTTCACACAAACATCTCTGTGGTTTTCTACTGCAGCTCTTGGGCCAGGAGGATACACCCACGTGCAACCCCCTTCTGCCCTCCCAGTGTAGATGCAACATGTGAAAGCCTTGCAAGGATTCACGCACCTCCGAGAGCAGTGGTTTTCCCTTGCACTTTATCAAGTCTCAGCACTTGCTAACACATTTGAAAGTGGAAAGGGCTGCTAGTCCTGGCAGAGCTGAGCATGTGAACACAGAGACGGAAAGTGGAGGAGCATCACAGCATTCACACCAGCGCTGCCTGTGTAAGGGAGCTGATCCTGTCTTCCAGTTAGTAGCACGGGAAAGCCGCTGCCCGAGTCCTTGCAAAGACATACACACTCCTCTAAACTAGGAAGGCATCAGGACAAATCCATGTGGCAGAGAGAGGCTTGGCTTTGAGGCTGCACTGGGGTAGCACATGACCAAAGCGAGCAGACCAGTAAGACTGTGTGCTCACACCAACTTCCCACTCACCCAAAAATGAGTTTTGACACCTGCTTCTCGTGTCACGCACTCTGCCTGGCCCCAGCCTCCTCCCCCTGGAAGGAGCTCCAGGGAACATCCTGGAGGATAAGCACTGGGGCAAAATAAGCATCTGTAAGCCTTATGGATTTTGCTCCACACACATGGCTGCACATGAAAGATGGAAATCAACCACAGAAGTCCCTGCCAATGACATGTCCCTTTGCCCTAGCTAGGTGCTGCTGGTTGTCTGTCCATCACCATCTGGGGCTGGACCCAAGCTTATTCCATGCTTTGAACACCAACACAGCCTTGAAGCAAGGGGTATCTAACTGTGGCAGCCTGGGGGAACCCTGGTGCCTTCCCTTGCTCTGGGACTGTACAGCACACCAGAGCCAACAGGCTCTATAACCATCTCTGCTTACACCAAGGTGACCCAGAAGAGCATCTTCAGAGTAATCAAGAGCTGAACAGGCTGTGGAGAATAAACTCATTTTTCTGCCCAGCTATGTCTTTGATTCAGGAGGAGTTGCAGAAAGTGCCTGAAAAGCTCATCAGCAATCTTGTATACATCCCCTGGAGGAGAGCACTACTTCTCAAGGCAGGGAGAAGAGTCCCTTGCAGCTTTTGGCTCTATCTGCCTCATATTCACAGTCCAGCTCTTGGCATTTTCTGTGCCAAAGGAGACTGGGTTATTTAAAGAAGGAAAATGCCGTGCAGCATTTCTCTTTATCACAATGCAGCTGATTGACCACTCCACGGACACAACAACAAAGCAGTCAGCAGTCAAGACTGTCAGGCTGCAAGCAGGCACAGTACCTGTGCTTGGGGCAAAGACTGGAAACAAAACAAAGCTGAAATAGCTCAATGAAATGACATGCTGAGAGCAGACAGAAGCAGACTCAATCATCACAGACATATTGAGGGAGGGTAATCCTAAATCATTGCACAGGATGGGAGACCTCATCTGTCCCAAAGGGTCAAGCACTATGTGTCACAGTCAGAGTTAGACAATATAAAAGTCAGCACAACTTTGTTATCTTGCGATAGATGATAGATAGAGATTTAGAGATAGAGAAAGATGAACCTCCCCAATGCACACACCCATTCCATAAATGTTTAGTTTGATTTTGGGGCAGCCCTTCCTATTTCTTTTCCCTCTTATTCCTCCCCACCTTCATTTGAGGTTGTCACAGAAAAGGCAGAGTAGGAGAGGAACTCTCCTCACTGAAAAGCCTCCTCTCGAACCATTGAAATTTGTATTGCTCAACAAAAGATACAGAAACTTTTTACAGAAAAGAAAACAGTAACATCCACAACAGCTTAGGGGCTGAAAAAGTAAAAACTTAACCCAAAAGCTTTAAAATTAAGATTTGCACTCAGTTTCCACATACTAAAACCACTACTTTGTTTTGTTCAAGATGTATTAGACAATACACCTTCTAGAGACATGCTGCAAGAAGTCTGTCCTATCTTCAAACCAAACATGTTTGTTTGCATGTGGGATGTTCAAGTGCAGAGGTCACGTGTCCTACGTGAGGACAAAGGAGAAGAAATGCACCTTTTTCCACCAGTCCCTCTGTACATACCCTGCCTCAGGTCCAAAGAACTGATGGCTCTCAGGTGAGTGACCTGAGATGTCAGCACTCTGACCCATATTCACCCAATTCTTTACTAACAGTATGTGACCCTCAGGCAGGAATACTTGCTGCTAGCTGCTTTGCATACAAACGATCAGTGAAACATCTTGCTCCATCCTCCATCAAATACCCAGCATGGTTTGTAAGCAGAGGAAAAAAGTCAAATGCATGAGAATGTTTACTTTGCAAAGATAGCAAACACAAATTGTTTAGATTATTAAAAATAAATTTTACCTTTCCAGATGCACTTTTGATTCTTACAGATACTACGTCTATTCTGTTCAACCTCCAGAACGGTCTGAAACTTTGTTCTGGGTTCATACCGCCTAGTAGATGAGAGATGGACCTGATGCACCTAGTTTAATGGGGTCATACCTCACTCTGCCCGTAGCTAAATCCTGCTCCCATTATTTCCCTCACCAGTGCTCAATGCATCTGATCCTTATCTAATCCCACATTCTCATTCCAAAGTTCCACTCAACTAATATATAAAACCTAATAAAAACTAATATATAAAAACTAATATATAAAAAGCCTTTGGCTTTTTTACAGTTCATGTAGCTGCAAAACTACAAAAGCTGGGAGTTCTCACCACAAGAAGACCTGTTTGATGTTAAATGGTGAGGAGTTAGTGCTTCCTGTGGCATGTATTTGGGGAAGGATTTTACGTGTGTCTTTTACACCAAGGAAAAAAATTAAGAATTCAAGGGAAGCAAGACAAATGTCACTGTAGGGGTCTGCTACAGGC